TGGATTGAGCCTCCATTGCACCTCTGCAATACCAGCAGACTGTTACAGCCTTATATGCTGGACAGACTCTACGACAGCTTTCATCTGTTTCAGACCGATCCGTCAGTTCAGGTAATCTCTGTTTTTATCTCTCTCTGGTTTTTATGACTCAAGGGTAGTCATCGTGTATCTCTCTACTGTTGTAGAGGATGGTTATGTCCTTGGCTTCAGATAGAGCTGTGTGGGATGCGGTGATGAACAACGAGGTTGTTCGAGAGCTAATAACCAACGGTAAGAAACATATAATAACATCCAATGATCTCTTGGTTCTCTGATGGATGATTGTGTAAGAGTTTTTCCTTTATGTATATAAACGCAGCTGAGAGGTCAGAAGAAGACTCAGGTCCAGCCGCGACTTTCATAAGGAGGTTGTTTAAGAGAAGTGCAATCAAAATCATTGACGCGATGGAGAGAGTCACAAAGTACGTCACTGACCTCTTCAATGTTGTTGTTCCTGGAGATGAGACGGTTGTGTTAGCCACAGGTCCTGCCCCGGTGATGGAGAAGCTTCAAATGACGGTTCTGCTCGCCGTCGTTGTCCTGCTTTTCGTGTTAGTAGCACGAGTCACAAGGGCTAGATAGTATAAAATACCTAGTCAAACTATGATCTCACATTTCACGTTACAATTGTAAGTGTGATCTCTGCTACTAAAACTGCAGCAGAAAAAACGTGATCCTTGTGCTACTCTTGTGTAATAAGAAAACAGTGATTTCAATCACAATATGTCATTTGAAACATTAATTCCAGCTTCTCCGAAGCAAGGATGTATCAAAAGCACACTAAATTAGATTTGAGAACATAGTTACATTCACATTTGGTTTTTGAACCACACCAAATCAGTTCTGATACAGGTGATTAAAACACAACACCTTGCAGTTTCTTTCGAATTGAAAAGAGAGCGATGACTCTGTTTTATGTACAGTGCAAAGTCAGCCATCCATCCATGAGACCAGTGATTGCTTCTCAGATTCACGAGCACATATTTGTTTAAATCTAGTGAGAGACCAAAAGCGAAAGTGTCTCCAAGTTTAAGATAAAAGGTTGTGTACGAGATTTACCAAGTAATTGTGTATATGTAAATCATAGACAGTGGGAAGGAGATCTCACCTCGTATTGGGTGCTTGAGCTACCGAGATCAAAGTCCATTGTGTAATCATACTCGATTGTTGGAATTACTGATGCCATGAACTTCAAGAACAGGAAGAGGTACCTGAGTGAAAAAAAGCAGGCGCCGCTGCAGTAAGTAGGGAAGATAGCAATAGTGTAACAAGCAAGCCCATGAACTATAGGTGTTATTTGCAATAAAAACACTCACTTGTCCACTTCAGGCTCTACTCCGCGTGACGTTAATACATCAATGATTTTCTTCATAACAGCTCCATGTCGACATGGATGGACCGAAGCATGTTTCCCAGGCAAGTGTGGATGATCTTCAATTGTGACCTGTGTATTTATTTTTTGACAGAGGATCATTGGTCAGATTTAGAGGACAAAACAGAGGAAAAATTAGGTGGATTTCGAAAAATTCATTTGATTCGATTGAGATTCGTCTCCTTTTTACCGTTTTACGAGCATGGTCTTGGCTAACATCCTCCATTACAAGTTCGGGTTGCAGCAGCATCCTTGACTACAAGACACACAATATATTTTAAGCAAGCAACAAAAAATCAGAGAATTTCAGGATGAAAAAGAAAAAGGAAACAAGTATGAACAAGATGCAGACCTCATCATAACCTGTCAGCCAAACACGAGGAGTTTGGTAATACTTATCATACCTGAACCAAAATGAAGAGTTATGAGTTTGCCTACTACTAAGCCAAAAGTATCAGAGTTGTATCTAGAAGTCAAAATGCAGTAAGATATATTCTTTTAGTGTGAAACAAGCGCAGAATGCTTACGTTATGGTGACATCATATGTCCGAGTTCGGAGAATGTTATCGTCATCAGGTTCATGAGCCACAAGATAAGTTGACTGAAGCGTTGCCTGAATCAAGGAAGATAAATATATTTTATAACTTCTGGTAGACCAAGAAATTGGAAAAACGGTAATATGCTTCAAAGGCAAGCTACACACACCAGCGTTAAATCCAGTCAAATTATAACCCCGTTGAAATTATTCCAATTTCCTAAAAATTTGCAAATTTATGCATATGACATAGTGAAGACACATGACATAGTGGGCGTAAAGAGAAAAACTAACTCACCGGATCATTTTCTACCACATTGTCAGCCTCATCAAACTCTTCCATGTCCGGAATATCTTCCTCTTCCTCACCTCCAAAATATGTGGGTATTGATTGGATAGCATTTTTCTCGTTTATTTCCAAGGCATCCATGGATGGCAAGTTTTCATCTTCCTTGCCTTTATCTATGACAATTATTAAGACAAAAGTTGAATGGGAGAAAAGTAAAATTTCGGAAACAATCTAATCTCTCAATACAAAATCTACCTTTCGGTTTCCCGTGTGTCGCCAACCAACCATCATTATCTTCATCATCAACCAGCACTTCACCTCCAGCAGCTTCATATTCCTCAGCCACAGATGCAGCTCTCCGTAAACAAGGTACTGTCAACCCAAAAAAAAAGTCATATAACCGAATGTGCATCTAGAACAACAAAGCAAACACAAAGCAGCTCTAAAGAATTCAAATTTACCATTTCTAGTAATCAAAAACTGTTTGTCCGAGGGCAAGTATGGCTTCCTTTTGCTTGGGTCACCAGATTCCCTAATTAAAAGGAGAAGCTATATGGTGTCAAGCTTACACATCAAGAGAAGATATATATTGTCAATTGGCTTGAACAAGAAACATACACCAAACATCTATCCCAATATGCTATAGACATATATGTAGTATTGAGAGCAATAGGATATCAAAGTTCGATACACATCGTTCCCCAGGGAAAATTGTTGGTCCAAGAATCTTATGGTCAAGAAACTAATCGAGCATCATAAAACTATGGAACAACCATTGATTTTGCAAGGAAGTTGCAACCTTGACAAAACTTGTTTCCACAACAAAATAAGCCACAATTATGATTTGATCACCATCACAAATCTCACATAATTTGCATAAAAGGCAATCACTTTATCACCAACCCAGAGATACCCATTAACCAATATTCATCGACGATCAAATTTACATATCGTAGATCGCAAAATTCACAAAAAAACACAAAATCAAAATTCGCAACTTTGTATTCATATTCTCGATAAGAAAAATACTCAAAATTCGAACTAACCAGGACCAGGTGGGACACTTGGAAACAAGATTATCGCCTGCGAGTACGAACTCGCTGACGCTGAGTACTCCTTTCTCCTTGRACGCCGAGATCGTACGAGGACCTGTGATTCTCTCCACTGTACCTTTAAACGCTTCATGAAGCTTTTGAGAAAGCACCATTTTTTTCGATTTCGCGATCAATTTGGATCAAATCAATGGATATGTCGAGAACGAATTTGTCGTATCGAAGAAGAATTCTAATCGGAGATTCGATTGCAAGCTCTATTCCCTAGACCGAGGAGAACAATCATAGATTCCGTGTATGTATTGAAAAACCTCGAGCAACCCTTATACTTTTTTATATTTCCGTTTTTGCCCCATCTATTTTTTTTTTATTACGGACCCCAAATAAGAAATTGGTTAATTCTCAAATTTGTCTTTCAGGTCCAAATAGTACATTTGATATATTTCCATCACAAAGGGAAGTTCTTATTGACGATAATAACATGACTACATGTTTTCATGGCAAGAGCACGACGGAGCCAGAGGTTATCCGATTCTCAAGATCTGCGTGAGCATCAGCGACTCGAGACAATGGGTACTTGTGATTCACACGGGCCCTTATGATGCCGGCATCAACATTGGCGAGAACCTCCCCTGCACATTCCAAGAGCTCGTCTCGAGTTTCGTTGTATTGCATCAAGGAAGGTCTTGTCAAGAAGAGTGACTTTGGAGCAAGATCAGATAATGGAATCGGATCAGGAGACCCAGAGGATTGTCCAAAGCTCACCATGTATCCCCGGGTCTTTAAACATGCCAATGATCCCTAGAGACCCATACAAATTTCAAAATGAGCAATTCGAAATCTGATATAGAACATAAACGGTTTGACGCTTCGTGACATTTTACCTTAAAGGTGTCTTTTCCCACCGAGTCATAGACAACATCGACTCCTTTACCAGATGTAATGTCGTTGACACGAGAAACAAAATCCTCGTTCTTGTACATAATAACATGGTGGCATCCATCTTCTTTGGCTTGAGCCGCTTTCTCATTGGTCGAGACAGTTCCAATGACAGTGGCTTCAAGCGCATTAGCCCATTGGCACAACAGTGACCCGACACCACCAGCTGCAGCATGAACAAGGATCGTGTGCCCACTTTCGACCTTTCCAAGTACAAATAGGACATGAGTCATATAGTGAAGAGAGCTTACATTACACAATAAGAAAAATTTCCAACCTTCAGTGAATTAGAAATTGATTAAATGAAAAACTAACCTTGAAGCAACGGCGAAGGAGAAACTGTGCAGTCATACCCTTGAGCATGATTGATGCTGCAACGATTGGATCAATAGATGATGGAACGGGAACCACTTTATCTGCTGAAAGGATTTGTTCTTCTGCGTACGCACCCATCGGATTTCCAGCATAAGCAACGAGATCACCAATCTTTCTGCCAGTTAATCCCGACCCAACAGCTACCACCTCTCCAACAGCCTCCATACCTATGAAAGCAAACCTAGAGTGAGGGAAAAAATAACTTTCCTTTCTTATTTTTATTTTTGTAAACTTAGGTAGTGAAAGCAGAACCTGGTGTGAAGGGCATAGAAGCTGGCTTGTAAACACCTTTCCTGTAGTAAATATCGATGAAGTTAAGCCCGATCGCCTTGTTCTTCACCCGTATCTCACCATCCTTTGGTTCCCCAACTTCCACATCTTCCCATTTCAGAACCTTCCAATCAAAAGAACCAAAAACCAGAAATGAATTACAGAGAATAAAGATCAAATCAAACATACTCACAAGTTTCTTAATCAAAGATAGCATGATATACTCATTTTGAAATAACCGGACAAAAACACACATCAGTGATTCAAGTAACCAACATATCAATTTCGACTCAAGCTCGAATCCAAAAGCTACCTTTTTGCCAAAAGCTGAAACACTTTGATCAGTGCTTGAATACTACTTAAAACCAAGGATTACGATTCATCGGATGCAATTAAGGTTTATTATTCTGTACTAAGAGACTATTAGTGAATCCAAAGTCATTACAGCTCTAAACATAGAGCCATACAGAGATCCAAAAATCCCGGTCCACCTAATTTCTTACAATAAGATTAACAAGACCCAAATCCGACCCGGAAATTCAAAATCGAATCTTTACTCACCTCGGGACCGCCATGCTCGTAAACCCTGATACCTTTAACCATCTTCTTCTCCGGCGAATCCTCCGCCGCGACTGTACACAAAGCTCTTACAGCCACCGCGACGCCACGTGTAGACAATGAAAAACTCGAGGACTCGGCAGGATTTAGACCAAAGATGAGATTTTTCACCGGATTTCGTGGAAAATTCGAGAAATTTAGGAGATATAGACGACGTGAAAGATGTCCAGACGATTGAAGACACGAGTGATGAAGAGTCAATGCTGCCATTTTCTATGGCCCCT